CTGGGGCGTGGCGTCCGCGCTCCAGGGGCCCCGGAGCGGACCAGGCTCGGGTCAGAAGTGAGTACGGAGTCGGCCGCGCCGCCAAGCCAGACCCGGGGTCGGGACGGCTCCTTCCCCTTTGCTGGGGCGGGAACTGGTTGATGAGAGACGGTGTCAGGGGCTCTCGCTGTTGCGCATCTATTGCCGCGGAGGTCCCCTGGGCACGGCGTGGCGTCCGCGCTCCAGGGGCCCCGGAGCGGACCAGGCTCGGGTCAGAAGTGAGTACGGAGTCGGCCGCGCCGCCAAGCCAGACCCGGGGTCGGGACGGCTCCTTCCCCTTTGCTGGGGCGGGAACTGGTTGATGAGAGACGGTGTCAGGGGCTCTCGCTGTTGCGCATCTATTGCCGCGGAGGTCCCCTGGGCACCGTCAGGAGTTGGGGGTGACGCTGAGGTCCCCTGCGCACCGTCAGGAGTTAGGGGTGACGGGAAGGTCCCCTGCGCACCGTCAGGAGTTAGGGGCGACGCTGAGGTCCCCTGCTCACCGTCAGGAGTTAGGGGTGACATCAGGAATCTGCCCCACAGCGGTTTGAATTCAGGGCTATTCCCAGTCATTACAATTCACAGAAACATTCTTCCGGTTTTTAATTTTATCCATTGCAATTTGTTGTTTGTAAATATCTAATATTTAAAAGGCCATGGATTTGCATCATTTTCCTCCCATTTTGTTTGAATAGGTGATATTCTAGAACTTTGGTGATGGTTGAGTTTGGCTATGCTTGAGTTGTGGGGGCAGGAGGCAGAAAGAGGGGGTGACTGTGCTTGGTGGGGGTCCCTGAAGTGACAGCCCTACAGTTGTCACCTGGCCCTCCCTGCCGTCACCCCACAGTCTGAGGTCTCTGAGAGCCAAAGAACCCACAGACGGCCAGTGGGACCCTGTGGATATGAGGCAGGCGGGGCTTCCTCATTCGAACGGGTGTGAGATTGCTCTGCATTGGCACCTGAGGATAGGGAAATGAGATTTACCCTGCTGGATGGAAACCTGTCATTTTTGCCCCCTTTCAACCAATATTTCTGGGTCACCACTGCTGCTCTAACCATCTGAGGGGTCCACATGTTGGGATGTTAGTTAGGGAATCTCTGCTGCCTGCCCCAGGACACCTGGGCAGTGGCTGCCTGGGGAGGTGCCACAGAGCACTGTGTTGAAGGTTACAACAATCAAAACAAGTTCCACCTTGTTTATCATGTTTCAGGAGACCTGGTTGCTTGGCTTACTGTTCTACTTACACAAAATTTCTGTATAAATTGTGTGTAAATACTACCCCTCGTCTTTTGTAAGACTGGAAAAAATAATGGGAAAAAAATCTTTGCTCATCAAGAGTGCTTCGACGCTTTTAAAAAATTTACATATTTTTACTGATTTCAGAGAGGAGGAGAGAGGGATAGAGTGATAGAAACATCAGTGATGAGAGAGAATCATCGATCAGCTGCCTCCTGACGCCTCCCACTGGGGATGGAGCCTGCAACCCAGGCATGTGCCCCAACCGGAAATGAAACTGTGACCCCCTGGTTCATAGGTCAAATGCTTAACCCCTGATGATTTGACACTTTTATCCCATTTCAGAATCTTTATTCTCAGGAGACTTCTCACTGTTTAGAATTAAGGGGGTGGTGTTTCCAAAGGAAGGAAAGTGATGCAGGTCAGGCTCCCACTGGGGATGGGAGCCCGGCTAGTGGGATCACACAGGCTAGTGGGAGTCACAGAGCCTCCACACCCGTGTGTTTGCAAATGCATCCTTATAGGAATAACCCCATGCAGTTTAAGACCTAAGCACACTGAGGTTTGTTTACTCCGGGAAGAGTCCATTTTTTTACACCAAATGATCTGGTCAGAGTGGAGCGTGTCTTCAGCTGCGGCATGGAAAGGGTCACGGTCTCCCCGGCTGGAAGTCATGTTTAACTCCCGACTCCCTGTCCCCTGGCTGCACCTGGGGTCAGGGAGCTAGAAACGTAGCCCAGGCCCCCCGAATGTTTGGGTTCAAGTGGTTAGTGTTGTTTAAAGTTTGGATTAGAATTTGGATCAGGAAGGTTAACGATATGTCTGGAGAGACCGGTTTTGATTTCTAGAACTGACAGCTTTGTCTCCTTAAGTCAAAGGAGGTACTTAAACCAAGGCTACAGACACATCAGAAGTGGTTTCAGAAACAGTGCCCATGTTGCCAGGCAGTGGTGTTCATGGTTGATGTGCCAGCAAAGGTTCTAGGAGAAAGGCAACTTTCAGAAGCTTACATAGATAGGCGAAGTTTCTTTTATCTGGGCTAAGGTTTAATCAGTTCGAAATATTTCTAAATATTGTTTCTTTGATTTTGGTTGAGATTTTATCAATTTAGTAAATAACCTCTATTTCATGTAAATTATAAGGCTTAATAATGAATGGAAAATTGAAAAACTGTTTCTAAACTTTTAAACTTTTCCTAGAGATACCATTGAGAAAAATAATGGTCTTGATGGAAGAAAAGCTTGGGAAACCCTGGAGTCCCTTGCGTCCATCCCAGGCCCTTGGTGGAGGGCAGGTTGGAGACTAATCCATTTCCTCACCCCCATGGCAATGCCCTTCAAGAAGGACCCTACGTCCCTGTTTCCCCCCGACCCAGCCAGAGTTTATTCCCTCTGATCATCATGTGAATCGTTTCCACATCCTAAGCTCATTCGGAGCTTTTGCGATTTCCAAAGTAAAAATTTTCTCCCCAGCCTTTTATACTCTTTTCTTCATTAAAACAATGTCTGAGTATGAAATTTTTCAATTATGTTAAGTTCTTTTTAAAGAAAACTTTACATCTAAGTTTCTTAGCTTGAGGTTTGGCAGCCATCCTCCTGTTAGGAGGAAACTCAAATGTTTATAGAGAATTCGCTTTGCTTTGGATTCAAGAGACTCGAGACTTTCATGATCACTCAGATGCCCACCATGGTTTGGCATGGAAGGGGCTTCTTTAGTGATGGCCTCTGTCTCCATAACTTCAGTAACATTCGGGTCAGACCCCGCACACTCCATGTGTGGTCGGGGGGCTGGGTGAGCCCTGCTTGATGTGGGGAACAGGAATTACAGCTAACGTATAGCTGTGCTATTATTTGTTGGTTCTGATGGGAAGTCACTATATATAAACTGTGGTCAGGCAGTATGATTTTATCAGAAATTTAACAGAACCTGTATTGTTGAAACAAAGCAGCCAGGCCCTTCTGCAGTAGAGCTGAACACAGCCGTATCCTCACCGTGACCAGTTCCCAGTGACTCGGGACTGTGCCCACACAGAACTTGGGCTCGCAGATGGAGCAGTGCATCTGCAGGCCTCCTGGGCTGCATCTGAACCCCCAAGTGTTTACAGAAGAGAAGAGGTGGGACCTGCCCCTGCAGCAGGATGTTTGCAGCAGCAGCTCTCAGCTGTGGAATTTGCTTATTAGATGGTTTGATTCTGCTTGGGTGTGGATCAAAGTGGAAAGGTTTTGGTGGGGGTAAGATGTATGCATTGGTTACCATGCTTTAGTTGTACAGGCCAGAAACCTGGGCCAGCCGAGCCCCGGTTCTCTCCCTCCAGCTCTTCTGCATGGCTCCCCTCATGGCTTTGTCTTCAGGTTCTCTCCTTACACCCCCCAGGGGGTGACATCTTGCAGCAAGTACCTGGAGAAAGGTTCTCCTGGCAGCGCCCACACCAGCCCTTGGCCAGGTGCCCATTGTGGACCAGCTCTGGTTAGGAAATCGAAGTGGCCCAGGAGGCACGTTGGGATCATCTGTTTCACTTGAGGTGCAGCATCAATGGAGACAAACTGGTGCTGATTCCAAAATGAAAGACGCAGGTGTTCAGCAGAAGGAAGAAAGTTCCCTCTTTACAAACTCAGTTCCGACTTTCCTGGCTGGAGGGATGTGGCGGCGTGAGCCTCGCTCATCTCAGCCTGAGGTGCCTGAGGCCCCTTGGAGCACCTGCTTGCTGGTCTCGTTGCACTCAGGTCTCCTTCCGTATTTGTTCTGTTTTGTTCTCCCTTTTCTGGGATGGCCTGGAAATGACAGTGTAGGGCAAAGGGCTATCAAGTTGTACCTTGCTTCTCTCTGACCCTGCTTTCTCTCAAGGTCTGGGAAATGCTACCGAGTCTGAAAAGCGGGCACATTTTGCTGTTAGTATATTCTTTTATAAATCCACCAATTTCATATGAAATGAACCTTTTCTATTCCTCAGGGAATTAAAGGGGTTTAACCTTTAATTCCCCAAAACCTTGCAAATACTTTATTCATTTAACAAATATGTATTGGGCAATTACTATTTGTCATTATGGCATGTGCTGGAGATACTACAGTTAATAAAATAAAATAGTCAATGTGCTTATCCCCATGGCACTTACATTCCAGTGAAGGGCATGTTCCAGAAAGATCAGATACAGACAGGCAAACAGGCAGACAGATAGGATAGCTAGACAGATATACATATTAACAGATATGATAGACAGGTAGATAGATAGATAGATAGATAGATGACAGACAGACAGACATATTAACCATGGCATAGACCAACTATGATGAGAAAACTTCGAGGGATGAAAGCAGTGGAGTAATATTATTTGAGATATTACTTAGATGGAGAATTCCTTTGGAGAAATGACCACAAATTCAAGACTGGGAAACCTGTGAGGAGGCTGTTGAACAGACAACACAAGAACTGATTTTCTCTGGGCCGGGCTGGTGGCTGGGGAGTGGGCGATGCCATCAGATTCTGAGCGAGTGTGGAAGGTTCAGGTTCTGAGAGGGTGGCTGTGTTGATAAGCATGAGGAATGGGAGTCACAGCTGGCCTAGGGGTGGAGTGTGAGCTCCCAGACGGATGAGACCTACCTGGAGAGGAAGCTGGGAGAACAGGTTGGGGAGGAGGCCGCACGTCACAAGTTACGTTTGGATGCGTTTAACTTGAGATGCTTGCCTGATACTTGGGCCGAGCAGATAATTGATATTGTGAGTCTGGAATGTAGGGGAAGATTAAAGAGTAGATGAAACTTGGGGAATGATCTGCCATAGATGGTGCTTCAAGTCGCAGAACCTGAGGTTTGAGTGCAAAGAAGGAAGAGGCTTGGGAAGACGAGAGGACCTGGAAGGAGGTGGAGAAGGAGGGCCAGCCACGACGTTGTCGCCCTTCCTGGAGGCAGCTCCAGTCCGTGTTAGCAACTTGGTGGCATCTTTTTAAAAATGTGGCTGCTGTGTCCCTCACCACTCAGACCAGACATGGGCAGGTTTGTCCCTGCTCCTCAGGTCACTGGTTGTTCTGTGAGGGCAAAAGGGGAGAAACTGTGCCCAGAGGCCCGAGTCAGTAGGAGGCGGGGCCGTCCTTAAGGACCCTGTCATTCCCCACAAATGCCCAGCAGTGGAGGTCGGCCCTGCCAAGGTTTCAGTTATGTGAGGGGCTGTGCTGAATGGTTTCATGTAGGAGCAGCATGGAAAAGGGGTCTTGAAGACTATTTCAAGAGGTCAGAGGTTGGCAGTTTTTTCCCTCAAGGGCAAGAGGGGACATGTATTGGGCTTTGTGGGCCAAGCGGCAACATTGAGGCTATATTATAGAATAAAGGTTAATTCCTTTAATATATAAATTAATAAGAAACAGACAAATGCCCCATAAATAGACAAGAAATATTAAAAAGATTTTACAGAATTGGAAAAATATTCAACATAATTTGGGGAAGAAAGGATTAAAAGTACACTGAGAATTTCATGATGAAGAAAAGGGTACTGGGTTTGCCATTTGCTGTAAACAACTAGAAACTGGGCAAAATATAAGGAGTGTCTGTTTTCACATGTTGGACAACAGGCGAGTGGTGAGTGAGTCTCAGAGAGGAAGGAGGCCCAGAGTGTGGGTTCTTGTTGGATGAAGAGCTCGTGAGCTTAGAGAGGCTCAGGTCCATGGCACTTGCAGAGCAGAGGGGGTTAGAGAGAGAGCTCAGGGAATCTCAGAGGGATCCCTGGAGTCCTTGGCTGAATGAGAGGCATTACTCGGTGCCTTGAAGGCATGCAGGATAACTGCCAGGAGCTCTGTGGGGGACAGCCCTGGGCTGACACAGAGTGGGAATAGCAGTTCTAACCAGCCAAGAGTGAAAGAGCTCATTAAGCCCTGAGGACGTGGAGGAGAGAATACCACCCTAATTGTAGGGCCAACAGTGAGCTCAAGACTATGTACACACCTGAGCCACACATCAAAGTGTTCGCCTAGGCAGCTAGTTAGTTAATGACAAAGAAAGGGAGCAAATGGAGGCCCTGGCCAGGTAGCTCAGTTGGTGAGAGCATTGTTCTGAGACGCCAAGGTTGCGGGTTCAATTCCTGGTCAAGGCACAATTCTACTACAAGAATCAACCAATGAATGCATAAATAAGTGGAACAACAAAATTGGTCTCTCTCTCAAATCAATAAATAAAAAAAAAAAGAAGAAAGGGAGCAGATGGAGCCAGACACCTAATTAAGCATTAAGCCAGGTCTACTATGACCTAGATCCTTGACATCCCAGGGGACAGCGCATTATCTGCCAAACAGAGGCTAATTCCCAGGAGGGAGGAGGGACTGGTTTTCCAATCCCCCAGGGGACAGCTGGCTGTTCCCCCAGATTCCAGAAGGGGGGACCAGTAAAAGAGAAATTCCTCTGCTGAGGCATGTGCAGTAAGAGCCTAGATGGCGACCAAAAAGGGGAGGAGTCTAGCCTGGGAAAAGGAAGGGATTGGGTAGGGGGAGGGCCTATCACAGCCCTCAGAGATTCGTGTGCTTCCTCCCTGTAGCAGAGTGTGGGCCCAAGTGCAGCCTCAGCAGAGGACCTGCCCATGGGGGTATGACCCCCAGGGAACTTCTGCCTCTCTGGGTCCCGGCCCTCCTGGGCCTGATAGCCGTGGTTGCAGGCTTGCGGCCCAGAGCCTGGACTTCTTCCACACTGGACGGAGCTGAGCCCCTGGTCATGGATGAGACACTAGGACTTGGGGACAGTCCCTTGTTTTCGCTCCATTAAACCTTGCCCTATGCTTCAAGTCCATGGGTCCCCGAAATGCTTTCCTTGCAATTCTGTGGAAGAACCCTATTTCCACCAGTAACAAAAGAAAGCCTTGACTTCTAGCAACCACCACTTTTACTAGAAATGGGCAGACACAGGAAAATATAATCCATAACTAGGAGAAAAATCCATCAGAAACAGGCCCAGGCAGAACAGAGATGATGCAGTGAGCAGACAAGAACGTAAAAGCACCTTTTACTATGTGCTGGAGGAATTAAAGAACATAAACACAATGAGACAAAAACACAGGCACGAAAAACAACCAATGGAACTTTCAGAACCAGAAACACAGTCTTTAAAATGAAACATTGGAAATAAACTCACAAAACTTCTTAAAAAAATAAAAATAAAAAATAAAATAAAATGAAACATTGATTTGATGGTCTGAACAGCAGATTTCACATTAAACCTCTTGATTGCTTTGGCTCTTCTGGTCCCCTGTCTGGAAATTGGCAATGATCTTGTTTTAAAATGTCGTCTACACCCAATGTTGCCTCACAGTCTTTGGAATTTCCATGGAATTATTATGCCAATGTGAATTCCCCATGCGCATGTATTAAACTTTGATGTTCTCCTGTTAATCTGTCTCTGTTAATTTGGTTATTAGCCCAGAAGGTGGGAGGAAAAGTATTACTATTCTTTAGCCCCCACACAAGCAACACTGGAGTGCAAAGTGCTGTACAAATGCTAGCCTTTGTTACTTAATCACTCAATTCCCAAGTCTCCTGGAATTTTACTACCAATAAGGAAAATCTGTACAGACCGCTCAAACATTTTTGACAAAAATAGCCAACTATGTTAAGTTTTACATGAGCTAACATAGACAGTTATAAAGTACATCTTTTTAAAATTCCTATATAATAAAAGGCTAATATGCAAATTGTCCCCTCGACCGGGCGTTTGACCAGGGTTTGGGGCTGGCTAACCGTCTGTAGCCCCTCCCCCAGCTGTGCATGAATTCATGCACCGGGCCTCCACGATTTTAATGTTTGTATTAGTACTGGGTTGAGTGAAGAATCACAGGGAGGACATACATAATTATTAAGATCCTTTAGAATCCCATGATTTTATAATACCTGAGATGTTTAGGGTTCCCAATCTCCTAGTGAATTTACTTTACTAGGAAAACAGAGATGAAACAATTAGTAATTGAGGATTTCCAGTTCATTTTCTTTGTCTGTTAGGGTATGAGTTGTTAATGCTTAATTGTGTATGAGAAAAAAATGAAATGACAATAAATTTGTAACTTCTATCTTTTTTTTAAAATGTTTTAGTGAATAATCCTATACCTTCCAATTTGAAATCAGAAGCAAAAAAGGCTGCTAAAATTCTAAGAGAATTCACAGAAATAACTTCCAGAAATGGACCTGATAAGATCATTCCTGGTAGGTAAATAAAGCCGTGCTGTGAATTTCTAAATCTGCTTTGCTTTCTAACTTGCGTGTTGCGTGCCTTGACTTCAGGCTGCCAACCCCCTGAGAGAGCAAGTCCTCACCCACCTTTTCTCTTGGCTGATCCTCCCAGCTCTATCTCACCTATTATGGCCATCTCGGGGTTTTTGAGCCCTTACGATGTTGCGTTTGCAGAAACAACATAGAGGCTGAGCTGGGAGTTGGGGACCCCCCACCTCTCAACTGTCCCGTAACCACATTTTATCTGCAGCTCCAATGTGCCCTTACGGCTCCTCGTGAGAACCCAGGAATCGGCCCAGCACACCTGTGTGCGTGAACTCTGCTTGCACCTGCTCACCTGTTGTCTCTGACCTTTGCAGCCCACGTGATTGCCAAGGCCAAGGGCCTTGCGGTTCTGTCTGTGATAAAAGCTGGGTTTCTGGTAACGGCGCGAGGAGGCAGCGGGATCGTGTTGGCTCGACTTCCAGACGGAAGTAAGTGACAGTTCTTCACGTGGGGAGGAGGGAATCCTGCATACTCACTGTTCTGTTTCCATGTGAACACATTTCACAGGCAGTATGGCAGGCTTCCCACGCCCCAAACCTGTCATCCTGAGGGCACCCTGGGTGTGTCCTGGGTATCAAACAGCTCAGGGCCATGAGCCGTCACTGTTTTCTTCCTAAAACATTGGATGAGATCCAGGTTGACCTGGCTTTGTCTTGTATACATTTGTAGTTCTTTCATGGAGCACATATTAAACAGGACAAAATTTGCATCTGCTGTTAACTATGAGTTCTTATTCTCACCTTCATGCCACAATGCTTTTCTTCTGTTTTGGGGAATTTTATAAGAAAATGAGAGCCATCTGTAGCTCCTGTGAGAAGTCATTTGAACGAATATCCCCAGAGCAGAATGCTATCAAGATCAATATAATTTGGTTTCACTTTCTGCAATGAAATCTAATACTTGATTTCTCAGAGGTGAAATCGAAGTGTGTTTGCCTTGAACCCCAAGAACAAGCATGGAGAGTAAGACTTAGAGTGTGTGCAGGCCTGCCAGGACCAACTGAATGCTTCTTAGACCAACTGAACATTGCTGTCCAGCCCTATAAGTGAGCACATTTTGGTGTAAATAGTTATTTTTTCGTGTAGATAGTTTGTGGGACATTCACCGACAATGGGTACATCTAGGCATCTGTGGGGCACACAGCCTTTGAACCTCAGTCGCTGGACCCTCCTGTGTAGGTATCCCCCCAAAGTGAGAGTCCTCCAAGCTGTGGCTCAGCTCTCAGAGCTGGAAGCACAGCTGTGAGACAAAAGCGACAGAATTCTCTCCTCTCAAGCATCACCCCAATTTTTATGGCCAGATTTCCCAGTAAGTAGCACAATCAAAGTGGGGGTACATTAAGAGAGAGTCCACGCCGGGTGAGCCCCAAATCTCTAAGGAGGCTTCAGCACTGTAAATCCCTTTGGTCACTGACAGATGACTACGCAGAAGGTGGGGGTACTATCGGCCTCTGGAGTTTCACTCTGAGCCCTTACATTTCTCTCCCATCTTGCCCAGTGGTGGCTGCTCAGGATAATTTAAAAGCTGCCCAAATGAGGCACAGAGAATTCCCGGATCCCTGCTGGATGGGGACAGAGGCAGTTCCTAACATAGGGAATGTAAAATAATGTTGGCATTTAAGACACTAATTTCTGTCATCAAAATTTCTGTCTGAGTCCAGACAGATTAGTTCTGGGTAGACTCGATAGTTATCATCTGGAATGCATGCAGGAAGGAAAGTCTGATTTAGAAGCTGATAAGCATTTCAAGGAATGACTTTATCTGGACCATTCCACCCTCCCCCAACCAAATTAATGTTGTTTCTAGACTTGTTTAACCTGTTTCTATATTAGACAAAATAAGCATAAAATACTCATGCAAATGCAATTACTGTGCTTAGTGTCCAAATGTAAGGAAATATATTTTACTAGAATTTTAATCATCTGGAATGTATAGCCTATTCCTTGTGCTTTTACTAGGCACAAAGGGTGTCAAACAGTTTTTGCCCTTGGAAATGTAAAATATAAACCGTGTAGTATTGTGTTACCCTCAGGGGTGGTTATAATCCTAGTAAACTCTCAATCCTTTTACTCACAGATCTACGATAAAATTCTCACCAATGGCTAGAATTACTGCTCAATTATTTTGTAAAACATGTTGATTGTTGAAGTTGTCAAATGCTAAGTAAGTTTAGTTGGTGAGAACTCAATAGTTTGGTATTAGGCATGTTTATTGAGAAAGATTAGACAACATGTATTTGTGAGTCTGAGACTCATCTAATATTTTTAACTTAAAAATTATATATAAAGAACATTTACAAACATAGAGGAAAATGTCAGATTCTTCTTATTTTAAAAGGAAACGGTATTCATCCTCATGTTAGCATTTCCCCTAATATTTGCGTGATGGGTCTGACTTTGGAGTGGCGTGTGCTTGTTTTATTAGAGTGGTCCGCACCTTCCGCCATCGGGATCGCGGGGCTCGGCGGAGGATTTGAAATCGGAATCGAGGTAAGGGGCCAATGGTACGCACACGATCATGAGTCCTCCAACAGCAACTGAAACCTAACACCTGGAAGTGAGAGATTTCCACCCGTGTTTATTTTACCAAAAACCTATGGAAACGGTTCCCTTTTATCCTCTCGATGAACCTCTCCCTATCTCACGTGACTATCTTCTTCCTTTTCTCTCATTGACGTAGAATTTTTTTCATTTGCCATATTTCCACCTTTGGGGCCTATAGAACAGATATGTCTCAGGCTGGCCACGCGGGCGATGTGTCGGTGACTCCTCAAGCCGGTTA